TTTTTTTTTTTTTTTTACTAGTTGGGTCATACTGTATGTAAGATTTTTGAATCTAACATAAAATTCAACATTGGCTCATAAGTGTTTTCCCATAAATAGTTTTAAATGATGCATTTCATAACATTAAATGATAGATGATTGACTTCAATGTTTTCTTACCATCCCATTGTCAAACATGCAGATGCTGCCAATTTTTGACTTTTATAAATATCTATAAACCCATGAAATATGTGCACGGGTGGGGTCCCTAGGCCTGGCCCCCAATCAGGACCGATCAGAGCCTTCCTTCCTGTCAGCTGCCAGCTGCCAGTTGCCAGCTTGGGCCTGCCGGATTGTGGGGGAGGGACCGAGGGAGGTTGGCTGTTGGGGTGCACTGCCCACTAGGGGTCAGCTCCTGCATTGAGCGTCTGGCCTCTTGTGGTCAGTGCATATCATAGTGACTGGTTGTTCCCGCATTCTGGTCTCTTAGGTTTTTATATATAGAGATGCTGCAACACCTTTGCTATTAATTTGGACTCAAATAATTTATTCATAATTCAAATACACTTCAGCTGGAGGTGAAGGAGAAAGGTAGTGTCTGTAAGCAAATTATTAGTGTTAATTGAAGGAAAATTAAACTTATCTATGTTTACAAATGATTTAGGCATTATCTGTGAATAGTTAGGATTTAAAATTTATTCTTCATTGAATTGCTAAGGTATATCATAATAGAATCTCCAGTCAACATTTTATTTTTTAGTGGTTCTTGGTAGTCTATATTGAGCTGTCAAATGAAACTTTTGGAATGATGGAAATATTCTCTTTATTTGACCCATCCAATATACTAGCCAATTAGCCATATATGACTATTGAACACTTTGAAATGTGGTAAGGGCAATCAAGGAACTGAATTTCTAATTATATCTAATTTTAGTTTTCAAGTTTAAATAGCTACCATGTTTCCCCGAAAATAAGACATCCTCCAAAAATAAGACCTAGTGCATGGAAAGATAAGACATCCCCTGAAAATAAGACCTAGCGCAACTTTGGGGGAAAAAATTAATATAAGACACTGTCTTATTTTCTGGGAAACAGGGTACTTGTGGCTGGTGGTTACCATATTGGATACTGTTGTTTCTGTCAAGACAATGACTATAAACACTTCTATAGTGTTTTATCTTTTCTTAGACACCTTTACATGGTTTACCTATTAATATATTTAATCCTCATAATGGCTCCATGAGGAAGTCTTCCAGTTACTAGTGCTGTAGAACGAATTATCCCCAAGCTTAGTGGTTTAAGACAATAGCAACCATTTTGATTAGGAGTCTACAATTTGGGCAGAGTTCGTCAGAAACAGCTCATCTTTGCTCCATAGAGCAGCAACTGGGGCTACAGGATCTCCTTCTAAGATGGTTTCTCTCCTCAGGGCAGATTGGGTTTCCTAACAGCATGGTGGCTGGGTTCCAAAAGCAAGTGCCCCAAGAGACAGGACTTGGAAGCTGACAAAGGATCACTTCCAACATACTCTATTGGTTAGGCAAAGCACAGAGTATGGTGGGGCCAAGTTTTGAAATCATCATAGAAAGGTACAGTCATGCCGAAACCGGTTTGGCTCAGTGGTAGAGCGTCGGTCTGCGGACTAAAAGGTCCCAGGTTCGATTCCGGTCAGGGGCATGTACATTGGTTGCGGGCACATCCCCGGTAGGGAGTGTGCAAGAGGCAGCTGGTCGATGTTTCTAGCTCTCTATCTCTCTCCCTTCCTCTCTGTAAAAAATCAATAAAAATATATTAAAAAAAAAAAAAAAAAAAACGAAAGGTACAGTCATTTTGACTCAACTTTTCAGGTAATAATACTGACTGCAGTTTCTTAAATAACTTGCCCAACTAACAAGCCTAGTAAGTGGCCAACCTGTTATTTATTCCAGGCAGTCTTGACTTTGTAACCTTAGTGCCTATCTTGCATCACTCTGTAATTCATGTTTCACTCATTTAGATTTATGTCTTCTCCAGTTTTTTCATGGTAGATAATTATCAGATTGTGACTGATACATGTTCATAAGTCACCAATACTGTAAATATGTAGTATTTGCAAGGGTTTGCTAGATGTCAAATTAATGATGAAGACACATTTTCAACCACCTCATTCAGAAGGCGCTGCTTGGCTCCAATTTTCAACTCCTCTGCTTCCATCCCTGTTTCCTACTGCTCCCCAAAGAGAATGTATCACCCCAGACTGAAACAGTATGATTCTGAGCAACACCCCCTCAGTCTTATCAATAGCATGCTGCCTGCTTCACCCATCCCCAGTGTATGGAATGTACTAGTAAAAAGGAATCAATAAATAAAACGTATCCTATCTAATAAAGAGGGAATATGCTAATTGACATTCACTCCATCACAAAGATGGCTGCACCCACAGCTGAGGCCAAGTTCCCATAAGAAACCTTAACGAGCCATCAGCAGGGACCTGAGGCTACACCCTCCCCTGTTCCTGTGGGGCTTGACAGGGGACCTCAGGCCACGCCCCCACCTTGGCATCAGGCTAGCGAACCTCAGGCTGAACCTCAGGTTGCACCTCAAATCGTATCCACCGCCCGGCAGGGCTTGACAGGGGACCTTAGGCTGTGCCCCCACCCCAGCACCAGACCAGGGGACCTGAGGCTGCGCCCCTCCCCTGCTTGGTGGAGCTTGACAGGGTGACCTGAGGCCATGCCCCCCGCCCAGCAGGGCTTGACGGGGGAATCTCAAGATACACCCCCAGTGCTGGGTTGGGGGAACTCAGGCCGTGCCCCTGCCCATTCCCAGCTTGGCTTGACAGGAGACCTGAGACTGCACCCCCCTGCCTGGTGGGGCTTGATGAGTAACCTCAGGGTTTACCCCCACCCAGTGGGGCTTGACAGGGGTGGGGCTGGCCGGGTCTGGATCTAGCCCAGTGGGGTGGGGACCAGCCAGGTCTGGGTGATTTTTGAGGTGCATGTGGGTGGGCGGGGACTTAACTTTGGGTCCTGTGGCATGCCCCAGACTCTGACAGGAGGAAGGTTTTCATACACATTTTACTAATCTTTCATCTCTGACACTTCTATTATTGAGAAAGGGCAAATAGCAATATCAAATTGTTTCCTCTAATTAACCCCTTTTAATGTGCATGGATTTCATGCACCGGGTCACTAGTGTAGAATTATAAAAGGAGTTAAAGAAACGTTTCTTGTTTTTTTCTGAACTTGAGGCTCAAGTCCAAACCCTCATTTAGGTGACATATTTGCGTTATGTTTAGTGTGTGTGTTCACCCATACATTTATTTATTAATTATTTTGATTCTTGGAAGAAAAATCAGAACAAAAATAGGTTGAAAAATACAGGTTAAAAAAATATTCAGAGGAAGAACGGACATGAAAATTGCTGGTTTATTAAGTTAGTAATTTTCATGTTCAAGTTCAGAGATAATAGATATTTCCATGTGGAAAGAGAGGTGGCTTTGTTCTTTGCCTCCTGTTTGGGACTGTTTGCTGCAGTGATGAGATGTGTCGGTCCCCTGTGTAATCATTACAACACAGGTTCTTTTTTTCTCCAACATGCTCTTGAGAGAGCTTGAAATTAAATGCATCCAGCTTTCCAATTCCTGGGTTTCTTAAGCAACGTATATGGATCTTTTTGATGTAGAAAACCTCACATTTCCACTTCATATTCTGAGTGGAATTCCAAATGGTTTCTGTCAAAGCTCATGTTTTTCTTGAGTCCCCCTCCTACCTGAATCCCTTTCTTTGATAATGCTCTTGCATTTTGTGTCTGAGAACTGGTACTTTGCTGGTTTTCTCTATAGTCTGTTCTTCCTCTGTTATTGTAATTGGCCATTTCTTAGGTTACTTACTTTTCTGTGTAGGAGCTTAACTGGACCCCGCCGGCCTGCCCAGACATCCGGCTGCCCCTGATGTGAGCTGATGTTATACGGTGACAAACCTAAAAGCATATTTCTCCTTTTATCCAAAAGATGTTCCCTTCCCAGCTGCCCTATTGTTGAAGTCATAAAATAAGTACTCACTGTCATGTTTTTCTTCTGAAAATGGCATGCCTTCCATGGCATTTCTCCGAATGTGCCATGATCCGCCCGTGTGTTGACTTGTTTGATGGCTGTTTCCCTGCAAGCTCCGAGGTGGCACTGGCTAAGCCACGTGGTTTATCACCTTCTATATCCGGCTCTCAGCAGGGAGCTTGTCACAGAAAGGGCATCCGTAAATGTTAATTCGGATCAGTGAACGAATAAACAGATGCATATGCTTTAAATTTTATCCTTGCACCTCCGGGCCAACATCTTAATGCCACCCTGGGTTCACTTCCTTTTCATACTGTACCAGTACATCTTTCAGTTGACTAAATCCTAGGAAGCTCCTTGAGACAAGGTTCTTTGTTCTGCGTGCCCAGCGATATGGCACAGGTGCCTCGAATGGTGGCATGTGGTGAGCATGTCCTATGCTGCAGAAGCGGTTCTAAATGTCCCACACGCATTAACTTACTTCATCTTCACAACAAGCGTACGAGGGTGGTAGGGACTGTCAGTATGCCCGTTTCACAGTGAGGCCGAGGCATTGCTTTTGTCATCGGTCAGTGCCACACAGCTGCCAAGAGGTGGGCCTGCGCGTGAACCCGCGTCTCCTGAGTCTGAGCCAGTAACACCACCCCGTGAGCATGTGTGTGCTCTGGGCTGGGCACCTCACCCACTGAGCTTTTACCCCCCGTCGTGCAGGTGCTCTTACAGGTGAAGAAGCAGAGGACGGCTTGGAGAGCTTTAGAAACGTTATCCATGGTGGGACCCAGTTTATGAGGGGCAGGGACAGGCTGGCACTGAGTCAGCCCAAACCGGGGCCCTCGCCCGTGTGCCTGGACTGCCAGACCCACCAGAGTCTGCATGACCCATGGCGTTGGGCACAGAGTGGGGTTTAATGTGAACATTTCCCAAGGTCGTGGGGCTGTCCTTGCTCCCTGCAGACGTCTAACGCAGCCCTGCATGTGTCTTCCCGCAGACAGTGGTGGCAGCCACTCACTGCACTCCAAAGCAGAGACGACCCCGTCGCCCACTGACAGTGCCGGGAGTGGGCACCCTGAATACATTGCCTATGTGCTTGTCCCCGTGTTCTTCATCATGGGGCTGTTTGGCGTCCTCATCTGCCACCTGCTTAAGAAGAAAGGCTACCGTTGTACCACAGAAGCCGAGCAAGATGAGGAGGAGAAGGTTGAAAAGATAGGTGAGTGCTCTGGATTCTCTCTCTCTCTCTCTCTCTCTCTCTCACACACACACACACACACACACACACACACACACACCTTCCATCCCTGTGAGGCAAGCTGATGCATGCCAACCACAGGTGGGGTAGTAATTGTCAGTGTAGATGTCACCATAATAATACCTACCGTTTTAAACCTGGCTTTCATCTATTAAATACTTACCAGGTAATGACTCTTACCTGCCTTGTGGTCTTGGGCAGGTTGCATTTGCTTTGAAACTCTGCTCTGTATAATTGAACTGAAATTTAATTAAAGTTTTATTTCATTCATATGAGTATAGTAAACTCTACCTCATAGGATTATTGTGAAAGATGATGTGTGACCCAGATGGCCACTCTTAAATATTAATTCTACTATTATTGAATTAGATTCTAACTAAAATGATGGGAAAATTCATTAGATCTCACCATTTGGGGGTATTACTTTGGCTAGGTGAGCTCTGTGTTAAATCTATGAGATTGGAAGTTATGTGTTTAAATTAATGATTGTGTGAATAGTGCAGCATAAGAATGGCACACCAGTGCCTTAGCATTAACTTTAGGGCAACTCAAGGGCAACTCACCTTTTCCTCTCAAGGAGTTCCCGGATGGTATTGAGAAACACCTAAGAGGTGTTTACTCCATGGATGTTCTTTCTGGCTGTCCGTTAGGGACGCTTCCTAAGTTGAGTCCTGGGGAGTGGTAGGTAACTGTCCAGATGCCTGTCAGCTCCTCAAAGGGCCGTTTTTGCAGAAGGTGACATTTGCAGTAAGTAGGTCGCCCTTCAAGCCAGCCCAAGGGTGGAGTGGGGGGAGCTTCCTCATTCCTTGCCAGCTTGCTGGCCTGTTGGTTTTTCCCACCCCCACTGACCTTTGAGGCAGAGAAAGAACACGGCTGCAGGATGAGTCATGAACAAGCTTATGAGCAAATCAAGGCTGGGTGTTTGTCAACAGACAGCGGAGCCTCCCACGCTTCTCCTCCCTACACGCTCTGAGGTGGGCTTAGCAGTCAGCATTCACATGGCCAAGCAGATACGCATTCTCATGGAGGAAGCACTTCTCCAGGTCTGTGCTCTGAACTGCCACGGAGTGTTTCAACCCTCCTCTTCCTTGTTTATTGAGACAAATTATACAGACCAATTTCAGAGTAAAGGTTTGAAAGACTAAAGACTAGCACATACACAGTCTCCCAGAGTAAACTGATTTTTGTGGGTAGATAACCTTGGCCAAAATCAAGATCATCTGGAAGTGTATTTAAAAGAAAGGAGAGTCTTATGAACATGGATGAATATTTCATTACCCAATTAAAACAAACCCCCCACACATTAAAACCCTACAGTTCCACTGCAATTAAAATAACCCAAGAATAATTTTTTTTCCCTTTCAATTAGCTTATTTCCATTTCCCCTAAAGGTTTAACAAAATCTTGAGAGAGAGATAATAGTGGTGTGGGCTGATATCAACGCATGAAGTGGTCGCCTTGGAAAGTGAGTGGGTGTTTGGACTTGAGACTGAGGGACAACTGCGACACTCCTCACGTCCCATGGAACCAGGGAGCCGCTCATGGGCTGCCCCAGGCAGCCGGGCTGCAGGGAGGGAGCCTGGGCGCTCGGCACTTGGGTGACCGGCTGAGCTTCCGAAGACTGCTCAGTGAGGCCTCCAGCTCCAAGACGGAATGTCTCCTGCACTTGATGCAGGCGACCAATGGTAACATCGTCCCCTCCCCTTTCTCTTTCAGAGCTGAATGACAGTATGAATGAAAATAGTGACACCGTGGGGCGAATCGTCCACTACATCATGAAGAATGAAGGTATGTTTTAGTGCTCCGGAGCCATTCAGTATTCCCATGTTCTATTAAGAACCTGCTTGGAAGAGTGGGGATTTGTGTGGACTCTCCTGTCGATTTTCTGACGTTATCTGCAGCTTTTACCTAAGCTCAGCTTCCAGCATTGTCCAACCATGAACGGTTCAACTAAGTGAGCTTTCTAAGAGCCAGTTGGCCTGAGGGCTGTGGAGTCAGGCCTGGAGGTGGCAGCTTATCTTCTCATCCTGGCCTCACCTCTCAATTACCTCAGTTCCCCTCTGTAATAACAACACTTTTCTGGTAGCCCTGTTGTGACATACCGCACATTAAGTATGAAGTGTAATAAGCACTCAAATATTATCTACTCCTTCTTGTGCTTTATGTGAAATACACACAATGTGAAATTTACCATCATAGCCACGTTAACGTGCCTAATCCATCGGCATTAGGTACATTCACAGCGTTGTACAACCATCACCAACTCTCTAGTTCTAGAACGTCTTCACCCCAGACTGAAGCTCTGTGCCCATTCAGCAGTTACCCCTCTCCCCCAAGCTTTAGCCCTTTCCCCTTCCACCCACTGGCCACCACTACTCTGCTTTCTGTCTCTATGCAGTTGGTCTGTTCTGTGATCCATTCTTAAACGTACAAACTTTTAAAATGTTTAACCTTTATGGATTTAAGCATTCCCCCTCCCCTCTGAAATGTATCCTCAACCACCATCTTCTTTCATGGAGGGTTAATTTAATGGGATCAGATACGTTGGGGTCATCACCATGGGATGGTTCCATGCCCTCGGCCACTTTGGAGGTTTGTGCAGCTCCTTGCCCACGTACCCAATAGCTGCAGATCCCACACTTTAGATTCCCACGAGGACTGAAAAGAAAACGTCTTTGCCTCTCAGTGCTGACTCACACGGTGTGCACTGGTGCCGCTGAGCCATTTGTCCGGGAGTGAAGTGCCTCTGTCTGGCCCAGTGAATGCCTGCTCTTCGGCCCCAGCCTTTCCCCGGGAACCTCCGCCTCCACATCTTCTCTGTCAGCAGGAGCTGCTGCCTGGCCCAGGCTGTTGGTCAATGCTTTTGACTTAGAGAAACAGCCATTCCGTAGGATTCAGCATAATTTTCATTGTTCTTTACAGAGTGTGCTTCATGCATTTGGTGTAGATCTTGGTGCTTTATGTGTATGATGTCATTTATTCCTCAAAGTATCTCTCAAGTTAGCATCTTACCCATTTCCTAGATGAAGACGTGAAGGCTCCAGGGAGTTGAGTTCACGTGGTGAGTGAGCAGCCTAGTCCTACCTGGGTCTCTCTCAATGTAGCTTTCAGTTTCTGTAAAACCAGATAGCCAGACTTAGTAGAATGGCTTTTACAAGAACAAAAAAGACCAGAACACTTGGATTTTGAGCTGTCTTCCCAAGATCTTCCTTCAGGGGAACAGTATTTGGCGATGTTATTTTTGACATTCCATGGTGCATGTTTTTCTTCACATAGAAAAGTGGTTTGTAATTTGCACAAGAAATACACAAATATGTTCTCGGCGTCAAAGCTTCCGCCGTCACAGAAGTGCCCAGTGGGGTTGGTCAGCCCTTTGTTGCTCCCGTGCCTGTGGCTTTGGGAGCTGGGAGGCCTCTGGGCCTGTGCTTCTGAGAGTGAAAGCAGCTCCTAAACTAGTGAGGACGGACGAGGCACTGAATCAATTGAAGTTATTCACCTGTGGAAACTCTGCCAGGGGCTGAAGTTCTTACATATGACTTCACAGTGCGCCCTGAATGTTGGCTGCGTGCCAGGCTTGTTCTCAGGGCTTTTCAGGGACTATTAACTCTGTGATTCAGGTACTTTCTTGCCATTTTACAGGTGAGAGACTGAGGCTCCTAGTGCTTAACTAACTTGCTGGAAAGTGGCAGAACTGGGGTTGGAACTCTGGCTTCTGACTTCAGAGTCTATACTTAACTGCTCGCTGTTGCTGCCTCCTTCATGGTTGCAGTAACAGCAAGTGGTTTACGTAGCGGTGGTAAACTTCTTTTTTTCAAAGGGGTAGCTGGTAAAACTCGAGAAACATCAAAGCATTGAATTCACAGAACTACCCGATGAAGTAGGCCCATTTTGCAGATGAGGTAGTTGAGAGTCAGAGGGTAAGGACTTGCCCAAGAGCCCACAGCCGGGGTGGCAGGACGGTGCCTGCAGGGACCCTTCTTTTGAGTGCAGCAGCCAGGAGCACCTGGGCTCTGGGGCAGGCGTTCTGTGTCATTTCCTTACCTCTCACACGCAAGGGCAAATTGGTCTGTCCTTTGGTTTTTAATTATGTCCTGTCCTTTTGGAGAATAGCCTTTTTGTTTCAGCTCTGCTAATTCCCAGTAGGTATGTCAGATAATACCCAAGCCTCTGATTTCCGTCTGATTCTTTTTAAAAAAATATATCTTCATTGATTTTTTTTTTTTAAGAGAGAGAGAAGAAGGGATAAGGATAGAGAGATGGAAACATAGAACATCATCAATCGGCTGCCTCCTGCACACCCCCTACTGGGGATCAAGCCTGAAACCCGGGCATGTGCCCTGATTTGGAATCAAACTGGCGACCTCATGGTTCTTGGGTCAACACTCAACCATTGAGCCACACTGGCCCGACTCTATCTGATTCTTTTTATATTTTTTTATTTTTTATTTTGTTGATTTTTTTACAGAGAGGAAGAGAGAGGGATAGAGAGTTAGAAACATCGATGAGAGAGAATCATCGATCAACTGCCTCTAGCACACCCTTACTGAGGATGTGCCGGCAACCAAGGTACCTGCCCTTGACCGGAATCGAACCCGGAACCTTTCAGTCCGCAAGCTGACGCTCTATCCTCTGAGCCAAACCGATTTCAGCAGTTTATCTGATTCTTTACCCTCCTCCCTTGTCACTGCCTTCATCTGTCTGTCTGTGATGTGGCCAGTGGCATTACCTGTGAGAATGGGTGGGGATTCTGGTCCTCCTTGGCCACAAGGAGACATCTGATCTCCCAGGACATCCCTCTCCTGCCGTGGCCCCTCCAGCTTCCAGCCTGTGCCCAAACCACAGCTGGGTGGTTGGTTACATACCTGGTCTCTTACCAGTTATAAGCTGGCTTTTTTTCAGTTTGCCTTTGAGACTTAAATCCTCTATAGAACAAGTTTATTTTTATTTTCCTTTGTCTCTGTGATTAAGAGGTTCTGAACTTCCTATCAGTTTACACCTCTCTGTTGGTGTTACATTTATAATTCTTTTTCATTGTAAGCACACCATAGCATAACCTTTAACATTGAAAAAAAAAGGAGGGGAGGGAGTAAATTAAGTGCAATTCATCCAGTACCATTTCCCACATTTATTTAGGTTTACTTTGCCTGTATTTCCATATTTTAAGCCATTTGCAATCCTGATGTATGATGAGTCTTCTGCTTTGCATTTTTAATTTGGCTAACGGGGTAGGATTTCCCTGTGCTCATGGTGACAGTCTTGTTTATGGCTTACACATATCATGGCTTGAATGTTGCAATTCAGGTTACTCTAGATAAGTATCTCTTGAAGGATGCCTTTCTCAGCTGACCTGAGCACTGATTATTTTCCTCCTAATCTCAAGTCTTGGATTAGCTGGAGTGTTACCTTTAAGTTTTCTTTCAAGTGAGGCTGAATGGAGGAGTGTTTGCGAGGTCATCAGGATGCTTTTCATTATGGAGTTTGGAAAGTATTATACCTGCCGCTCCATAGCTGAGCTCCTCTTGCAAGCCTTTCATGGTCTGACGGAGTAACAATGAGGAGTACTGTGACTGTTCTCCAAGCGCCCCTGGTCACTCACACGAGGCAGAGGGGCCCCTTTGTGAAATTCTTACCGCAATTTATATTATGGCACAAAGGACTCCTTTACAAACTCTTGAAGGTCTCTGCAACTTGCTGTAGTGGTTATGCAAACCTGTTGACTATTGAACTATTAATCATTGGGGTAGAGACATGGACGAGTAGGAAGACCATTAGGTGAAACAGAGTCAGGTAGACCAGTGTGTGTCCTGGCCTGTTGCTGTGCCCGTGTGACTCTGGCCATTCAGTTACAGGCTTTAGGCCTCGGTCTCTGTATTTGTAAAATGGGTGGCAGTTCTGTCTATTGTTAGGGTTGTCGGGAGAGTCCAACATGGTGAGTCTGTAAAGCTTTTGGCCAGGGACTGGCGCACACCAGGTACTCTCATTTTGCTGATGGCAGTTGTCGTTCTTGCTTGGGAAATTTGCCTTGCTTGTAAGGGAAAAAGCTGGGAAGTAGTGGCGAGAGAGGAAATGACCTTTCTTTCCTCCTTCCTTCTTTCCTCTCTCCCTTCCTTCCTTCTTTCTTCCCTCCTCTCTCCCTTCCTCCTTTCCACTCTCACTCCCTCCCTTCCGTCCGTCCTTCCTTTCTTCTCACCTGAGGATGATATTTTCTCTCTCTCTCTCTCTGTCTCCCTCCTCCCCCCATCCTCCCTCCCTTCTATTCTCTGAAAAGCAATGGAAAAAAATAACATTAGGAGTGTAATGTAACTTAGTCCATGCTAGGTAACTTGTATGTGTGACCAACATGAAGTTTTAAGCCGTCTGGCCTGTGTGGTTAAGGTTGCAGAGGCAAGCCAAACGACACACCTGGAAATGCTGTTACGCGTGGGGTTTTACGTGGGATACACTTGGAACGACATGGCCCCCAGGGTTGAGAGGTTCTTATTTGGGCACGTAGAAGTCATTAGCACACAGGCCTCCTGAGACATACGTGATCTTACACACTCAGCAGAGAGCTGGATGCGGGGAGCATGCCCGCGTTCCCTCCGGTGTGAGGGGAGAGGCGGTATCTTCCACATCACACTGGGGTGATGTGTAGGGGACAGCTGCTTCCTCCGTGTCGATTCCCCATCGCTCATCCTAAGTTCCCGCCTGTTGAAGCCATTGGCAGGTGATGCCCAGTCCTGAGGCTCCTTTGGGAAAGTCCCTCTCTTCTCCGGGGCCCCAGGGCCTCATCTGTGACCTGAATGAGCTCAGTTAGGTGCCATTCCAGCAGCTTTTCTGATGTGACAATTCTGTGATTACCCTCTTTCTCCTGCTGTCCTAATTCTGCACATTTATTCCCCTTAGCAAACGCTGACGTGTTGAAGGCCATGGTAGCAGACAACACCATCTGTGACCCTGAGAGGTGAGTGCTCCGTCCAGGTCTGGGACGTTTTCTGCAGGGTGTGCCCGAGCAGGCTCCCCAGACTCGCGCTGTTGACACTGGCCAGAGAGTTATTTGCTGTGAGGAAGGCCCGGTGGTTTTGGGTGTTGGACAACATTCTTGGCCTCCGCTCTCTGAATGCCAGTCCCCCCCTCCCTCCAGAATGTCTGGCACATTGTCTGTGTCCCCCGGAGGCAGAGGCCCAGGGCGAACCGCTGGGGGAGAGAATGGTGGTGGGGGAAGTGGCAGCCTTGGGTGGGGTGGGGGCCTGGGTAGGGTCTCACCTCCAGAACTTACTGAGCATCTTCTTGGGGAAGTTACTGACCATTCCGAGGTCAAGTTCCAGCTCCTGTAAGATGGAGATGACCACTGCACCCACTTCACTGGGTTATTATAAGGAATAGGAAATACCTCAGGCACCGAGAGACTTCCACGAGTCCTGCCTAATTAATCACAGGACTGTATTTCTATACAATTTCTGTATAATTTGTCATTCTCCAATAAGGAGCATTCCTGGAGTGCCGGCTGTGTGCTGGGTTCTGTGCTGGAGCTGGGCACTCAGCTCTTTGCCCCGGAGGACTGGGTCTCGTGGGGACTGGAGATGTGTGAGCCCCGTGGTGGGTGCCATAGAAATAAGGGCCCAGGGTGCCAGGGGTGCCGTGGGGCCTGCCGGAGGCCAGGGAAGGTCCAGAGAAGTGCCATCTGAGTCAGGCATGCAGCAAGCAGAGGGAAGAGGCAGGGGCTGCGTGTAGAAAGTCCAGGAGAAAAGGCCCTGGAGCATGAACGTGTGGGACGCAGCTGGAAAGGTCCAGTCTGGGGTGGCCAGCGACAGTGCTGCGGACAGTAGCGAGAAGGGCCAGGAGGCCGGTTGGGACTGTTTAGACTTTCCTCCTTATTTACCCTGTGGGTTGTGCACCCAGCATATTTTATTTTATGTGCATTTACATATATATGCATCTCTCTCTCTCTCTCTCTCTCTCTCTCTCTCTATATATATATATATATATATATATATATATATATATATATAATTGATTTTTAGAGAGAGAGGAAGTGGGGGGGAGGGGGAGAGAGAGAGAGAGAGAGAGAGAGAGAGAGAGAGAGAGAGAGAAAGATAGATAAGAATGAAACATTGATCGGCTGCCTTCTGCACACCCCCTACCTGGGGATTGAAGCCACAACCCGGGCCTGTGCCCTAATGGGGAATCGTACCAGCAACCTTTTGGTGCATAGGGGAAACACCTAACCAACTGAGCCACACTGGCCAGGGCGTATCCTGCATATTTTAAATATTTAATACGTGCTTGTCAAACTGGCCATGTTAGCTTTGCACTTTTGCGAGATAGCTGGGTGCCAGGAAGGCCAGCTTAGGAAGCTCTGGTGGTGTCGTCCACAGAGACATGAGCTGTGATTTCTCCCGAGTTCCAGCTCTGAGCACAGATGCCTGGTGGTAGGACCCTGTTAGCATGTGGGATCTTTGCCTCCGTTATCTGTGCGCATCACATAGGCTTTATACACAGCGGGTACTTGATAAATGTTGGTTGAATGGATGTTGTTAAACTTTTGAATTCAGCCTTCTACTATTTGGTGTTAATTTAACATTGTTTTGCCCTAAAAAGCTGCTGCTGTGTGTGTGTGTGTTTGGTTTTTTATTTTTTATTTATTTTATTTTATTGATTTTCCACAGAGAGAAAGGGAGAGGGATAGAGAGCTAGAAATGTCGACCAGCTGCCTCTTGCACCCCCCCCACTGGGGATGTGCCTGCAACCAAGGTACATGCCCTTGACTGAAATCGAACCTGGGACCTTTCAGTCCACAGACCGACGCTCTATCCACTGAGCCAAACCGGTTTCGGTTGTGTGTTTTTTTTAACCACATAACGAGCATCCCTGAAGAGCACCAGGAAGCTACTGGTCGTCTGTGACATTTGAGAGTATCTTTCAACCCAGGGCCACGCTTCTAAATGTGCACGTTGGCTGTTCCAGCGTAAAGGCTGGGCTGTGCAGCCGCAGACTTTCCGGTGCCCTGGGGCTCTGATGCAGCCTTAGCTGTCAGGCTCTGCGGGGACGGATTGCCTCACCTGCATCCACTTACACCTGGTCAGAGGCTGACTCCCTGTCAGGCTGGCCTGGCCTGGCCTGTTTCATTCCTCCTTTTCTGGTGGACCAGAGCCCTGCCATGTGCCTTTTGAGAGGAGCCAATCCCCAGCCTGCATACTTCTGCTTTTCTTTAATCTTAGAGAGGAAGGGAGAGGGGGAGAGAGAGAAACATCAATGATGAGAGAGAATCATTGATCACAACCCAGGCATGTGCCCTTGACCGGAATCGGAACCGGGACCCTTCAGTCTACAGGCCTACACTCTATCCACTGAGCCAAACCTGCTAGAGTGTTACCTCTGCTTTTTAATATTTTGGGTGATCTCCCTGCTTCTGCAGCACTATGGGATGATTAAGATCATGGTTTCTAGAATTAGACTTCCTAGATTTGGAACTCAGATCTATTACTTATAGCTGTGTGATCTATGGTAATTTATTAAGCTTTTCTGAGCCTGAAAGTTTTTTAACGAAGAAATTGATACCTACTTCATAAGGTCTGATGAGTTAAATGAATATATATCAAATGATGAGTTAAATGAATATATATCAAATAGCAATAAAAATAGCTAACATAGCTATTTTTATTGCTATTATCAACTCCAGCATTTCTTTGGAGCATCACCTTTGATATCTCAACCTAAAAGCTTTCTTTTTCTTCTCTCAAGGATTCTATTTTTTTTTCTTAAGGAGGATAAGGGAGGGGGAGAAAGAAACATCTATGTGAGAGAAAAATTGATTGCCTCTCTCCTGTGTGTTCCAACCAGGGATCGAAGCCACAACCTAGTTATATGTCCCAACTGGGAATTGAACCCACCGCCCTTTGGTGTATGGGATGATGCTTCCATCAACTAAAACACAGTAGCCAGGGATAAGTTTATTTTTTTAATGCAATAGTCAATTGGGTCAAACCTTCTATCGTAAGTCATTAGGTAATTTGATTGGAATTTAAGTTTCTCAATCCTCCAGGGCATGCATCTCTTTGCTTAGAAATCTGGGCAGGCACTTTGCTCTGTGTGAGAAATTAGTGTGATCACATGAGAATGGAGATCAGCTGTTTAGAATGAAATCTAATACCTCAAAGACAAACAGTGCATCATCGTTGGAAGCAGTGCTTAATTCCATTCATGAAGTGATAAATCACGTTATTGCTATTTAAAACGAGCTGCCATTGCATAGTCCTAAGAGGAATTTGCTGCCTAAGACTAGTACTCAGAGCTCATTTGTTTAATAGGAAGAGGCATTATTTTCTTTTGATTCAAACCTGCTTCTTATGTAACAGGGGGAGAGATTGCCTTAGCTGGTGTTCCCTTTAAGTAACCATTTCTACCTTTTTTTTTTTTTCCTTCCCATCTTAGCCCCGGGACCCCCAGCACCCCCGGGAGCCCGCCCGTGAGCCCCGGGCCCTTGTCCCCAGGTGGCACGCCAGGGAAGCACGTCTGCGGCCACCATCTGCACACAGTGGGCGGCGCTGTCGAGAGAGATGTGTGTAATCGGTGTAGACACAAGAGATGGCACTTCATAAAACCGACCAGCAAGTCCAAAGAAGGCCGCCCGAAGCGCCAGGGGGAGGTCACCGTTCTGTCCGTGGGCAGGTGAGATTCCTGTGGACGCTCTGGGTGTGTGTGACGTGGTTGCTGTGCTGTGCGGGCCTGTACTGAACTGTTCTCCTCAGCCTGGATCAAGTCACCTCTCTGGACTTTTCAGGAGTTTTCAGGTCTGAGTTCTATATTTTTCCAACAGCAGAGGAATCCTAAGAGGCGGCTATTGCTAGATCAGGTGTCAGCTGTATTAAATGAGGTTAAAAAAAAAATTAATTACTTGCTGTATTAGGGTTCTTCAGAGAAGCAAAACCAATAAGATAGCTATAAATAGAAATTAGTGGAGATTTATTATAGGAATTGGCTCATGTGATTATAGAGGCCAAGAAGTCCCTTGATCTGCTGGCTGGGACCTGGAGACCCAGGGAAGCTGGTGGTGTAGTTCAGGCCAAGTCCAAAGGCCCGAGGACCAGGGGAGCCGATGGTGTAAGGCCCGATCCCAGCCTGAAGGCCTGGGGACCAGTAGGCTGATGTCAGGGCAGGAGAGACGCCTAGCCCAGCTCCAGCAAAAAGCAAACTCAGCCTCCCGCTGCCTTCGGGTTGTACTCAAGCCCTCCGGGGATCGGTCGGTGCCCACCCACACCGGGGAGGGTGATCCTTCCTCAGACTGCAGGTGCCACTGCTAATCTGATCCGAAACTGCCTCCCAGACACACCCGAAATAATGGTTTTCCCCGGTCAAGTTGTCATATAAACTTAACGCACACTTACAATAATAAAAAAGAGAAAACCCATGGGCATGGAAAACAGTGTGGTGATTGCAGGGTGGAGGGGGAAGAGGGTGAGAGGCGATAAATGGTGATGGGGGAAGGGGGGAAAAGCCCAGTCCGAACTACTTGCAAAATAGGAATTTGGATTTCCTATATGGAGATGGAAAGGTCAGTGGGTGGCTCTTCAAGCAGTCACCCAGAGCTCCCGCTTCTCCATCGGCGCTCTGCCAGGCTTGCCGGCAGAAGGAGGAAGTGCCGGAGGACCCTCCTAAGAGGTGTCGGTGAGGTGGGCCGGGAGATGGCACATTTCCTTCCACTCACATCCCACTGTCTAGAGCTCAGCCCCTGGGCCTCACCTCACGGCCAGGCCGGGAGTCCGCACGTCAGCTCCGTGTGCATTCCTGAGACTGTTTCCTTTGAGCTCACCTACCCGGGCCCTAAAGAAATATTTACTGTGACTCACGTGATGCGGAGATCTTGCAGTTCAAGTAACGAATGAGTATGACTATGGGTAGAGCATTTTCGCAGTGTCTGCAGTTTTGGTTTTGAGTCTTATGCAGGAACTGTGCTGCTGCCACCTCATCAGTTAAGAGCGTGTGTGCTGGACCAGGCCCTGCAGCACCGAGCAGAGCTGTCGTTAGGGCATACAGGATCCTTCTTTCCCTGCTGACGGACTGGGAAGAGGAGCCTGGACGCATTGAGTCTTGGCACCACCACTTAAAAACTCACTTCTCTCTGTGCCTCATTTCCCCCTTAGTAATTGGGAGTGACAGTACCACTCACCTCATTGGGTTGCTGTGAGACCAAACAGGATGATTCATGTAAAAGTTTTAGGCCAGTTTTTGGCACTTACAGCGCACGCAATGTTGGCTGTCATTCCTGTTTGTTTAATTCGATTGAATTTCATCATGTGTTGCACCACCAGCAACGAGGGGAAAACCGCCAGGCTGTCTGCCACTTCCAGCAAAACAGTGCGGCCCATGGCCATGCTGCTTACTAAGAGGCAGAGGAATGGGAACTTATGACTGTGGGATGCGACTAGGACCTGTAACTTGTTTGGACAAAGTGAACGTTGTTTGCTTTAAAGGAAAATCTGCTGAAATATTAACTCCGATTCAATTAAATGCCCCCAGTGCAAGTCTCCTTCTGGGCTGCAGAATGCTAGGACCATCAGCGTGGGTTACTTAGCGTGTTACAGTGTGACAGAACAGAGTTCTGGTGACACCAAACCCCTACCCCACCACCCCACCCCAGTCCTCACTGCCTCAGCCTCCTCCTCCTGATGGTGGGTGATCTCATTTTGGACAAAGAAGAGTTTATTTGAGATACTTTTAAAGGAACTTAAAGCCAGAAATAGAAGTTATGAGAAAGACCTTAGGGATTTCACGATGATAGACTAGAAATGGAAAAACAGTCAAATTGAGTAAATTTCTTTAACTTCTCTCTTAATCTTAATGAAAAATATCTTCTTTAATTTTCTTAAAATTTCCCATAATCCTTAGTGAAAATTAATCCAAATTTGCTTTAAAACACACACACACACACACACACACACACACACACACACACAAAACTAGGCACAAAAACCCTGCTACCGATACTGATAAAATACATAGTTGGGGCTTCTATGGTTTTGTGTGTGTGTGTGTGTGTGTGTGTGCGTGTGTGTGTGTAGAGAGAGAGAGCGAGCTGACCCTCTGACAAATGTGTCTTTGACTCAGGCAGTTTCTGAGTAAACATTTTGGTTACGTCATTATATTAGTCTAATTTACAAACCATTTATGTTTTTCTCCAGCCAGATGTTAAAGCCCATGTCATTGTTAGAAGCAGCAACTCAGAGGCTGTGTAATATTTGGGTACCGTATCTGTAATGCATTTTCCACGCTCTGGAATGCATTTTCAGCATCGTCTGTGATGTTCTGAGTGAAATGAACCGGGAAGTTGGGCAGGGACAGGGCGATTTACTGTTAACTAAGGTGTCTTCTGTTGCTGTCCTAACTTTCCGCTGAGTTCATTTGGAATCCTCTAGGTGGGTGGTTTTTGATTCACTCATCATTCTTGTTTCCTGGAAGAGCAAACATATCCTCTTTGCCCCTCAGGTTTAGAGTTACGAAGGTGGAACACAAATCCAATCACAAGGAGCGGAGAAGTTTGATGTCCGTCAGTGGGGCTGAGAGTGTCAATGGGGAGTTGCCTGTGACCCCTCAGAAGAGAGAACGGAGAGGTACAGAGTAGCAGGTGAGTTGAAGTTGTGTGTGTATGTTTGTACTGATATAAATAATGCTATCTAATAAAAGAGTAATATGCAAATTAACTCACTCTAACACACAAGATGGCCACCCCCATGTGGACACAAGATGGCCAGCCACCACAAGATGGACAGCAGGGGAGGGCAGTTGGGGGTGACCAGGCTGGCAAGGGAGGGCAGTTAGGGGTGACTGGGCCAGCAGGGGAGGGCAGTTGGGAGGGACAAGGCCTGCAGGGGAGGGCAGTTGGGAGGGACAAGGCCTGCAGGGGAGGGCAGTTGGGGGCGACCAGGTCAGCAAGGGAGGGCAGTTAGGGGCAATTGTGCCAACAGGGGTGCAGTTAGACATCAATCAGGCTGGCAGGGGAATGGTTAAGTGGTATTCAGGTTGTTAGGCAGAAGCAGTGAGGGGCAATCAGGCAGGTAGGCAGGCGAGTGGTTGGGAGCCAGTAGTCCTGGATTGTAAGAGGGATCCGACTGCCCCGTTAGGCCCGATCCCACTGGGCAGTTGGACATCCCTCAAGGAGTCCCAGATTGGAGAAGGTGCAGGCTGGGTTGAGGGATAGCCCCCCTCCCATGCATGAATTTTTAGTATAATAAATAAGTAAATAGAAGAGACAAATTTTCCTTACAGAATTCCAATAGTATATTTAGATACTCTTCTCTATAGAAGGTGAAGCGTAATTCCCTAGGGGATGGCTAGGTTCAGTGATATGCTTTCTGAAAATTGAACAGGGAAAGGGAAAAATATTAACTTTATTATTTTATTTGCTAATTTCACTATATTTTCATTTATACTGATACAAAAACATACAGGTAGAGATGGAGAGTGATCATTTGGTAGTCATGGAGATGAGGACATTCTATTTACAGATCTTCCCCCATCTCAACCATCTCACTGATGGCCCATCAGGGTTGCCATTGCTGACTGGTTCTAGATAGGATGTTGGGATGTCACTGGTCTCTTGTGCCAGAGGCTCCATGGTGACTGGGCAGTCCCTGAGTGTCTGGTCCATGGAGGGGCTGAGGTCCTCTGTAGAGCTGGGCTCTGGGCTGTCTTTGGGAAGGTGGGTGAGGAGGTGGTGGAGCTTCTGCCCAATGACCAGCGTCCATGCCTCCCTGTGTCTGTCCTCCCGTGGGAGGTGGGAGTGTGTCCACCTGTAGGTGAGTGCAGTTTTGGTGGCATTGGGGTTGGGGCAGTGCTTGGTGGGGATGGGGTACTGGGAGCCTTCCTGAGGTGTGCGGGAGAATAGGAATGACTTGGCAGGAAATGAGAATGCTTTCCTGCAACTGGTCGGACTAGAGAGAACTGAATGTGATTACTCATGTGGCCTGAGCTTCCTATAATGAGGCCACAAACGTGGGTGCCTCCTGGAGCTTGGCCTCCATGATAAAGAGGCAATGTGGAGTGGTGGGGATTGTGGCAAACCAGAAATCACATAAGCCATTTATCGGTTTGCATTACTAGAAGCCACTTAATGTTGCTAGATCTTATGCAAAAAAAAAAAAAAAAAAAAAAAAAAAATTAAGGATAGGCTTTTTAATTGTGAAATCACCACAAGTTTTTAAACATTAGCAGCATATTAAAATTTCTTTTGAAAAACCATGCAGGCCAAATGAAATGTAACCTTGTCATTATGTCTAGGTGAACCATGATTTGTAAAAGGTTAGAGCAAGCTTCTTCCATTAGTTGGGTTGGAACCCAGTTTTCTTCATTGTGCCATCATTCTAAAATACTCCCAGTAGGGATATTACTAGTTCCACTAAATATTTCAAAGCAAAAGTAAAAGCTTCTTGTTTGGCAATTTTAATTTTGGAAGATACAGTATTTTAAAAAAAGAAGCCCATGATAATTTGATATTGGTTTAGCTTTAATCTTACCCCTTTCTTTCTATTCTGGCTTGAATAGCATTCATCCTTTTCATGTTTCTTATACGTAAAAGGGACTCCGTAGTGATCGTGGCCCACAGCTCTGATGCGAGCCTGGACATGAAGGCAAAAGGAGGGGAGGGCGGCCGTGGGGCGGTGGACTGCTGGGGTCTCTGAAGGCCCTGGGAAATAGCAAGGTAGCCCAGATCAGGCGGCCGGGCTCAAATCCCAGTTTGCCACTCACCTGCACCAAGACCTGGGCTAGGTGCTTTGGCTTTAAGGAATAATTAATTAGTTTATTGATTGATTGATTTTAGAGTGAGAGAAAGAGAGGCATCGATTTATTGTTCCACTTGTTCATGGAGTCACTGGTTGTCTCTTGTATATATGTCCTGAGCGGGTGTCGAACCCGTGACCTTGGCACACTGGGGCGACGTTCTAACCTGTTGGGCTACCCTGCCGGGGTTTGGTTCTTTGGCTTTTCACGCCTCACTTTCTTCACCGGAAAACGGAGATGGTGTTACCTGCTCCGAGAGTGGCAGCGAGATTTCCGTGAAATAACTTGAGGCCCAGGGCGTATGGAAATCTCAGTCAGTGCTGCTGGTCAGTGTTTGTTCCTGCACTTCTGGTTCGTGTGCCTGAGTTGGGGGAAGAAGTGGCTTTTGATAATCTCCCAGCTCCGAGGGGTTGGGCGTGGCCTGGGAATGAATACTCTGGGAGAATGCCCTCCTGAATTCTGTAGGCGTAGGCTTTCTGGAGCTAGAAATTAAAAGTTTCTCCCTCACATCGATGTTTCTCTCTCTCCCTCACCTTCTCTCTCTCTCTCTCATCAATAAAAACATATTTGGAAAAAAAATAGGGTGTGCCCTATTGGGCATTGCAGACAGAACATGCCCATTGTTGCAGACAGTTTTACGGGACAGACAGCAGACGGTAGCTGGTTCCTAAGATATGGGGATTGGAATCCTAAATGACTCCCGGGAATGAGAGAAGCATTCTGAGTAGTTGTGGGGGCCATCTGGCCGCAACGAGAAGCCTCTGGCCATGCAAGTCTAGGTGAGGAAGGCCCAGCCAGCTTAACTGTAAAGTGAGCTTGGCTTTAGCGCATCTGCAAATGACAGCGTGTAGAGAGACGGAGCAGACCACGTGGGAGAAGGCACCACTCACCTTCAGGCAGGAAGTGCGAGGCTCAGCCTGATGAGAGCCGTGTCAGGGTGCCCTGGCCCGCTGCCTGGAGAGAGGGCCTGGAGCTTTAGGGAGATTAAAAGGATGTGGATTGCTCAGCTGGTGTTCTTAGTCCAGCTATAGGAATTGGACTATTTCTGACTATAGGAATTTGATCTAAGCATCTGCCATCCTGGCCACATTTTACTGGTTTCAACGTGACGTTCCCTGCAAAGCACATAACCATCCACCGGGATTTTGTGAGAGAGCATTGAGTCTGCTCACATTCTCACTTCTGCACTAGGAACCTGTACTTGTCTGCCCTGTCCCCCGCCCCCTTGATGTGAATAGGACAGTACATTTACTGATTAAGGCAAGTGCCAGGAGAGCGTCTGGCCTGTGCTTGGCTCTCAGCAGACTATAGTCATACTGTGCTGCACCGTCCAGATCAGCACAGGAATGATTCAGGAAGGGAATGCGATACGCTCTCCTAGCCCTTAACTGGTATTAATTTTGAAATTAAAATTACGGAAGTTTTCACACAAACTCAGAAGTAGAGAATACTCTGAATGCTCATGATTCATGGAATCAGAGTTCCCAGCAAGCATGTGGGGAGTTTAGAATCCAACCCAGGCAGCCTGGCCTGGAGCCTGCACTTCCCGGCTCCGCTGGGTCCGGGGCAGCGGGTCCCGTGGGAGGGTCTGCTGGGGCTGGGACCCGGTGAGTGACCTTGTCTGAGGACCCAGCCGAGAGTGGATTCTGAACAAGGAGGGAGGGGGGAATATTCACTGACCTTTAGAAAAATGTATGTGTTCATTCAAAGTTTTCTTGCTGGTTTTTATATTTCTCATCCCCAGAGTGTTTGGCATATTTAACGGCTTTATTTTCCAAGAGGCCACATCCTGGGCCGAATCTCTGGCTCTGGACTGAATTGAAAGATTTGCCCTAAACTATGACTACGACAGCAGGGCAGGAGTATTGCGTGTTTTCTGTGCAGTCTCATATGGTGTTTAGAGTTTTTCTTTCCCCTGAAAAATGTTTTTGTTTACATTTGGATTTTTGGCTAAATCATTTTACTGTTGTGCCTGGTTTACTGTAGAATTGATTCAGATATTCAAAATATGTCTATTCATTGGTTAGACTTCTTTTTTTCTTTCTTTTCTTTTCCTTTCTTTTCTTTTGTTTTCTTTTCCTTTCTTTTCCTTTGTTTTCTTTTGTTTTCTTTTGTTTTGTTTTGTTTTCTTTTCTTTTCTTTTCTTTTCTTTTCTTTTCTTTTCTTTTCTTTTCTTTTCTTTTCTTTTCTTTTCTTTTCTTTTCTTTTATTTCTTTTCTTTTCTTTTTAAATAGGTGGCTGGTTCTAGAAACCAGACTTATTATTCTAAACAGAACGTTATCAAGACTGGGGCAGGATTTCTCTCTCTTCTCTTTTTTAAAAACAAAATCAGTTGATTCTTTCCACCGGTCTCCTTGGCCTGTGCAGCAGAGATCTGACTTGCCCCTGCCTGGTTTATTTTGGCAGCACAGTTACTGTGGTTTCTTTTTTCCACAGAAAATGTGTTTGGATTTCTTCTTAGAAGAATACACTTTTGTTCTTCAAAGCTGCATAAATCGAATTGCTTTCAGGCTGCCGACGCCACTGCCTTGCCTTTGTTATCACCGGTCTCCACTTCTTAACGGTGACACGGTCGTGCCCTGGCCTGATGGCTCAATGGTTGAGTGTTGCCCTATGGCACCAAAGCGTCGCAGGTTCGATTCTTCGTCAGGGCACATACCTACGTTGCCTGTTCGAACCCCTGTAAGGGCGAGTACAGTAGGCAACCAGTTGATGTTTCTCTCTCTCTCTTTTTCTTCCTTCCTTTCTTAAAATAATAAAAGTAAAAACATATCCTGGGGTGAGGATTTAAAAACAACAACATTTAGACATATAAGCATATGCTGAAATGGACTTTATAGAAAA